CAAGCTTTTTGGTGTGACAAGAACAGACTAACATACTGGAGCATTGATGTCCCTGTACTTACACAACATTCTGTTTGGTGGGTTTACTTTGGGCTAAATGTTGTCCAGGCTCCACAACAGAATGCATCCATGTGTAGGATTTGAGAATCTCCAAATGACCAGCCTCTCATTCGGAACCCTGTTTCTCCATTTGGATGTGAGTATGCTTGGCCTGCAGCTGGAGCTCACCTTCTGGTTTCATTTCCTCCTGGAGGAATCTAGATCTGACCCAGTGGGCTGCAAGGCATGACCTCGGACTGAAGGAAAGGAAAGTGTTAATAGTTTCTCAGCTTGTTACCTTGAGCATTTATTATGGGCAGAAGTTCTGCAAGAGAAAGGAAAAGAGGTTTATCCTCGTCACCAGGGTGTAAGAGGTCAAATCACCAGCTGATAGGCTCTGGTACTAAGAGAGGAGTTAATGGAGCTTTAATGAGTGAGCGGGGCCAATAATCATACATCTACCTGGCTTCTGAACTGTCTTTACGATAGGAATGTAATTTTAAGCCATCTCATTTTGAAAGATCTGAAAACTTGTACATTCTCATTGAGGATAACACTAGTTGTCAAATTTGTAGTGAATTAAAAGTGAAAAGATTTTAAAGATTAGGAACATTTGTGTTTTCTCCCATTCAAATGCCCAATTATCTATCATCTGTGCTGAAAAAAAATCAACCAGCCATTGAACTTTAAAACCCTTTTGTTAGGAATAGAATCAGAGACCTGTCTTCATTAGTATTAGCAAAGTACTTTAAGGCTTATGAGAAAAGGATGGTAGCAATAGAAGTGCTTAGTAAAATGAGAGATGACTAACACATGAATCTTTTCCTTGAACTCAGATCAGTGCACCACGAAAATCTTCTTTTCTAAATGCAGGGGCACAGATGGTTTGCTTATATGAATTATACCGAGGGAGGTCATACAGAACTCTCTGAATTCAGCTGCTCATATACAGAATTCTGCAAAATAGCTGCTAGGACTAAGAGAATGAATTACCAATAAATGCCCACTGAAATAAAAAAGGTGTTTATCATATAAGCACTCTAACAGCTCACCTGACTTTTCCCTGGCAGAACATTTCTGCTATAGGAATTTAACCCGTGGGCACACATAATTAGCTCTTCCACCTTAAAGTTGCTGAAAGAATGATTTGCTTAAGAAGATTAGTCCTTTTAGTGTTCAATAGAAGTACTGACAAATGAGCCTAAAATGATTATAGGTGAACTCTTTTAAAACCATCTTCTGATCTTTTATTTTAAAATGGTGTGCCTTTCAATCAAAAGACTTTTTAGTCTAACCTTTTGTGTTTTTCCAGATCAAGGCTCAACTTTTAATACTTCCTGTATTCAAATCTTGTATGTGATGAGATGGTTTTCAAGCCTCTTTTGAGCCACATGGAAGATGACCAGAATAGTCTCTTTAAAGACAACTCCAGTGCTACTTTATTTCTTCTGGTCATTGTAACTGCATGCAGCTTTCTGTCTGCACTGGAGCACTTTACCATGTCAGTGCTGACAGGACAACTCTTTTTGAGCTCTGCTGTACCAGCTTTACTTGAGTTAAAAATAATTTTCCAGAAGGGGGGGCAGGGTTTAAGGGCAGGTGGAAGACAGAAGAGGTGATACTGAAAAGCAAAGACAGGAACAAAGCTGTCTCAGATGGGCTATGGCAGGGAAATGGATTTTTCCATCAGTTTGCCTGCATACCATAAACTTGAGGTAGATTAAGCACAGTAATAGAGCAAGCATTGCACTTCACCTATAATGACTCTGCAGCTATTGTTTGCACGGCAGTCTATTTCCCCATATAAAAGCTAAGGATCAAATTTTGAATTACTGATACAGACTTACAGAGTAATCACCTTTTTTAAGGTATGGAATTATCTGGATCCTTCATTTGCTACAAAGTTTTATACAAGTATTGAAATTATGTGAATTATATATTTCTTTTTTTCCTATTAATATAACTCTCAAGCTTGAGAAATGTATCATATTGAGCTGTTAGCATAAATTGAAAAATGGATGCCATAAACAGAAATCAATTTATATTATTAATTCCTGCTCAGGAAAAAGGAGTAGACTTTCCCATTTCAGTTTTAAGTCATGCTGCCATCTACAGGTTGAACAAACACTTGCAATACTGTGCTTACGATAGCAGGGCAATCCAAGTTGGAAGAGGTCTCTGGTCCCTGCCTCCACAAAAGAGGGTTGCCTCTGAGCTCAGCTCTGATTATTGTCATGGTTTAAGCCCAGCTAGAAATTCAGCAGTGGAAGCTGCTCACTCACCTTCCCCTTTTTCCCCCCCACCCCAGTGGAATGAAGAGGAGAATCAAAGTAAAACTGGTTAAGAACAGCTTAATAATTGAAAATACAGTAAAAGACAGTAATAATAGAAAATTATAACAATAACGATAATAAAAAGGGAAAACCTAAATGATGCAAAATGCAATTGCTGATCACCCGCTGTCCAGTGCCAGACACCCCTTCCCAAGCTCAGTTCAGTTTCCCTTCTGGGTAACTCCCACCAGTTTGTATACTGGGCATGGTGTTCTATGGCGTGGAATACCCCTTTGGTCAATTTGGGTCACCCGTCTTAGCTATGCTCCCCCACCACCCCCCCCCACCACCCCCCGTCCCGTTTCTTTTGCATACCTCCTCACAGACAGTCTATAAGTCAAGAAAAAAGTTCTTAAGATAAACACAACTTAGAAAAAACCCAAACCCAAAACACAGCACTGAACAGCTACTGAGAAGAAATTAATCCCACCCTAGCTGAGACCAGGACAGTTACTCAGAGATTTGTCCCATTTGGTCTTAAAAATCTCCTTAGATGGAGGCTACACAGCCTGTTCCACTGCCTGACTGTCCTCCTAGGGAAAAAGTCTTTCCTTTTAAGCAATCTGAATCTCATTTCGCTTTATGCTCATTGTCTCTTATTCTCCTGTGAGGAACTGGATTTTTGAATTGCCTTAAAACATTGTTGCTGTAGCAAGCTGTGCAAAGAAGCCTCCTGCCAGGAGAGTGAAGACAAAGGCTAAGGGGAGGAGACCATAGCCTACAAACTGTTAACTTTGTGGAGGCCTGGGGGCAAGTCTTTAGGTGTGACTCTAGGTGTGTGATGCGTATCTCCTAAGAGCCAGACTATGTCAAAAAAGGCCCTCAGTGCACACACTCACCACTACCCCAGAGAAGGCCCCGCTTTTAGCAGGACATGCCTCTGAAGCACACACACCACCCTTCTCCAGCGTAAATGAGTGTGGAAAAGCCAGCACCTCCAGCCTCTGACTCATTCCTTCAAAGCCAGCATGACTGTGCAAAAACAGCAGCCCCCCCACCCCCCATGCAGGGAGGGTTTCTGACGGTATATAAACCCACCAGACTTCATGTTTTGCAGGCTTCTTCCCCCATCACTCCCTGATGGACCAAGACACTACCAAAAACCACCAGAGGAGACCTCCGGGTGGTGAATAGGAACTTTCATTCTTTCTCTCTCACTCTCTCTCACCCTTACACATTTTTTGGGTGATATATATAGTAATATGGCAGTATAAAAGTATCAACCAAACAGCTACATACCGGTTTTCCTTTGCAATCAAATTGTTCTAAAATAAACCCTATATATATATGTATATATATATAGGGTTTATTTTATATATAGTTTATATATATATATATATATATATATCTATATCTGTAAACACTGATTATCTGGTTTAGATTTACTTTAATTCATGCCAAGGGATTTATTAGCAGAAAAAAAGCTACTTCTGCCTTGCAGAGTGGAACATAACAGCTCATCTTCTTGCTAACCTCCTCATAGATACTGGAGAGCTGTTGTTGGTTCCCCCCCAAGCTGTATCTTCTCCATGTTGAAGAGGCACAGTTCCTTCAGCATGTCCTCAATGGCAAGGATTCCAGTCCCGTAATAGCTCAGAGGTCCTCCTCTGAGCTTGGTTGTTTATTTATCTTTTTCTTGTGCTGGGGACCAAAACTGAATGTAGAGGTTAAATGTGATCCAACAAGTACTGAGCAATGAGATGTAATACCTTCCCTTGACCTACTGGTTGTGCCCGTACTAACACATTCCAGGAGGCTGTTGGTCATTCTTGTTGCCAAGGCACATAGTTGGCTCATGTTCAGCTGCCCACCAGGTTCCTGGGGCCATTCCTGCAGAGCTGCTCCCCAGCCTGGGCTGCTGCATGGGTGCTTCCTTCCCACAGGCAGCACTTTGCATTTTTCTTCCTGAATGTCATATGGTTCCTGCTGGCCTGTTCCTTCAGCATATCTCAGTTGCCCTGAACAGCAGCCTGATCCTCCACAATATCCATCTGATCCCTTAATTTGGTGCCACCTTCAGAGCATGAAGGTGAACTCCATTCCCTTGCCCAGGCCACTGACAAAGACATTAAACAGGATGGGGCCCAGAAGATACCCCAGTGACACTCACTCCAGGTAGAGGACGACCTGTTAATCACTACTCTCTGAACCTCATCATCCACTTTTTTACCCATCTGGTTCTCCACCCATCCAAACCAATATGTCCTAACTTGGTTTCACAATGTAAATATTGTGGGACGCTGCCGAACACCTTGCTAAAGTCAAGGTAAATTACGGTTTTTTTGTTCTCCCCTCTTTCACAAATCCACTCATTTTTATCACAGTTAACGGCCTTTTATTTTTAATCAAGAAAGAAAAGCTTTTTTATCCAGAGTTGGTTCAATTAATATTTTTTGTGCTACCATAAGGCTTCACAGTAACAGGAATAGACTCTTTATCCTGTAAACAATACAACATAGTTTTGGTTTTATTATTATTGGTTTTTCAGTGATGTTAAGTACTCACCTCATCTTGAGGAGCTTACTGGAAAAGGCATTAACAACTATGCACTACTTAATTCTGGAATCCTTAACATTGACTTAAGTTGGGAGATTCATTGAATGTCTGATAAAGCAATAGATTGTACAATAACTTTTCAGTTAGATACCCATAGGCTGCAAACTTCTAACATTATTGCTTGAACAGCATTTAGTATAAAACATTAAAGAAAAATACTACGGAAAACAAGATACATTTGTTTGCTGCAAATACTTTTCCAGGATTTAACTCTGCAAGTCAGATATCTACCAAAGAGGAAATTCATGCTAGCTGCTCATGGTTTCTTTAAGTTCTGTTAGACCTGCCTGGTATAACATACAGCTTTACTCCAATGCTTTCAAGGCTTTGCATTTAGAGTTTGGATAGTTTTTTGAGTATTCCAAAGGATTTGCATGAGTTTTTTTCCTAATCTCTATGAATCTCAATCTACACATTTTTCCTGTTCATGATTTGAACCTGTTATTCTCCCTTATGTTCTTGGCATTACACATAAAATATAAACATTGAACAATATTCCTGCAATCTTTCATTAAGTGGAATCTTAAAAGTCACATTTCATTATTTCTCTCAGACAGACCGTTGCATAACAGGAAGGATCAAGGTCAAATGATATATGAAGAGAGACTTTTAAATCATTCAGATGGTTGTCCTCAATTTTGATCCCTTTTTCACCACCTTCCAAAAAATATGACAGATTCTGAACATTTTTCAAAATGAGTCGGTAGCATCCAGGTATATTCAGCTGTAATGGTGACACTCTGAATTTGCACATTTCCAGTTCATCCTTAGAAAGTCTTTCATGGTACCACTCTCCAACTTTATTACTGGGATACTTGATACTATGTCCCACCATTGGAAGAACCACCTTCAAAGAAAAAAACCAAAACAACAAACATATTTGAAGTAACACCCATTCTTCTTTAAATACATGTAATAACAATTTCAAATGTTTTTGAACCTTGTGTTTTAGGGCCTGAAATAGTAAACCAGAGTGCTGCAGGTATCTCAAATTCAATTAATGCAGAAAAAATGATCAATGTATCAGGATTCCTAAAACAAACTAGGAATATATTAAAAATAATTTCCTTGCTTGTTGGGAAAGATACAGCAATAAAGACATTCAGTTGCCATGTAAGACTACAAAAGTACACACTCTGAAACCTTCAAAAATTAGAACGTCAACTATTTTTGAAAGTTTTTGCCAGCAGACTGAAATTTTTTTCAAAGTATTCAGCTTCATGATAAATATTGCCATACTGCAAATGACACTGTACTTATTTCCATTACAAAGTAAATTTGTTATGAGAGTGGAGATTAGTTTACGTGTGTTTTCTTTAATATGCATCCTGGTAGGGAAGAAGAATACACCAGTTAAATTAATCACATTTTATTTAAAACAAAACATTTTAATCAAATAAAGAGATAACTCAGAATTTTTCATACAGACTTACCTGGTATATAGAATACTTTCCAGCTGACTCTTCTGAAGCAGTGACTACATGAACCTGACAAGACATTTAAGAAGTTAAGAAAAAAGCACTCACTTTTTAAAAGGTAAAAACATATACTTGTTTTTTAGGAATTATACACTGTATTCCCAAACTTGTAAAGGATTCTAAGGCAATTTGACTGCTACAAGGACAATAAACTCTTTCAGGTATGGAAAAAATCTTAGGATATGTTTAATATAATCAGTTTACTGACAGATGGTATTGCATTAAATATTTACTGATGCTAGCTACCACTAATATTCTTTGAGTCTGAAGTTAACTAAGTCAATGCAACTCCTTTTGCAGCAGCAAAAGCAAAAATATGAAGAAAAACATTCTATATTAAATAGCAATATATCTACATAAAACTCAGTAACTCAATACTGAATTTGATACCTCTGCTTTTAATTTCATTTGATCTGCTCTTTTATTAACATTTATTCTCAAAAATATTGTTAAAGAAAAATTTCAGTGGAAACAGAAGCCACTTCATAGGGACTGGAGGTTATCTTCCAAGTGCTCTTGCCTTCAAATTTGTAAGAGGCACACAGAGTCCACTCTGAAGGTTTTCCCCAGTCAGATCCTAAGAAGAGCATAAATTCTCACATGTATCAATTCTGACATTCTGTTCCTTCTTCCCACTTGAATAAAATGAACAGCCAAAACAGATAAAAGCTAATATATGTCTAGCTCCTATGTCTGTTTATGGTACAACAAAAAAAGCTACATTATGTTTTTCAACTTTTTCGCTAATATTAGATATTTTAATGAATGAACCAAAATAAAGGCATTAGCATATGTCTGAGTATGCATTCAAGTGTATTAAGTTGGTTGGGGTTTTTTGGTTTTGTTTTGTCTGAGGGGTTTTTTGGTTTTGGGGTTTTTTTGTGGTTTTTTTTTTTACAAGAAACTACTTTGGGAAGACTCACCTTGTCATTTAGGGAAATGCTTTCATCATTTTCTTCTGAGAGTACAAGATCACCCTCAACCACTTTTAAGCCATAAATCTTCAGCCTATATGATGCTGCTTCATTCCAAATTTTACTGCAATAAGCATGGACATAGAATATGCGCAAGGAATGAGGAATGTTGAGCCATCCTTTGGTACAGCCTTCATGATTTACACCATAGCGATTTAAAGCTCGTAGCAACATCTTCTCTCTAACTTTAAATTCTGGCAGCATCACGAGCGTGCCCTTTGCATCTTCTGATATAAACAAAAATAACCGTGTAAGTAATCCCTGATTTTTCACATATTACCTGAGAGAAAAAAATACACTTAAGAAGATGAAATAATCAAGTAGGAAAAAACCATGTCAATCTAACCTCCTTAAGCCATTAGGTTATTATTTCCTTTCCTTCTACATGCCGTGTTAGACAAAGGTCATCTAATGGCTATCAACAGTCCCATGAATTTTATTATTTCACGCAGTATAAATTAAAATAGCTGTCATTCAGTTATTCAGTCTAGTTTGCCTTTTTTTTTGAGAAACTTCTTTCATCACTCCTAAGGTTTTTTTAGATCAGGTAACAAAGTAAAAACTAAGCTATAAAAGAACATTAGACCACTACTTTGCATCATTTGAGAATATGTATTTCACAGTGGGTAAAAAAAATGTCTTTATTTTAAAGGCACAAATTACATTGGCCACTGGGAAGTCTGATCCTCAACCAAGATGAAAATACAATTAATCAGATTCGTACTAAATTATTCCAATGTTGTATATTTAGAATGTTAATGTTTACGTATTTTCTCATTACAAGTGATTACCTGATGAGGCCTTTTGCATAGCCTTTTACCTTTTGCTTTCAGGAAAAGGCATTTAGCTGCTTTCAGGGTCCACATCAATGTCTTTCCGTGCATCATACAGCAATGTACAGAAAAGAATGATTCATCTTATATTTTCTTGTGAAATGAAACATATCTGTGTCATTTGAAGCTATATATCATAGTTGTTCTATCAATCTACAGATAGATAGGTAAGCAGGCTAATAGATGTGGGATGTTTGAAAAGAAAAAATATATTTGAAGTTGAGAGCAAGTCCAAATTTTTAGTTTTGGACAGAAAGTTCACTTGAATGACAAAAGCAATAAATATGGCAAACAGAGCACTTAGCCTACTTCTGCTTTTGATGTATTTTATTGATTTTAGGTCAAGACAGAAAGACAGTAGATGTGTCAGGTGCTGAGTAGTAGTTGGGTACCACATTCCTGTATACTTCTTTTATTAGGAAGAATAAGTTTATAGTCCAAAAGCAGACAGATGGAAGGAGGCCGAAAATCCTCTGATAAAATGATCTTAGTCTTTTCCAGCACTGTGCTATACAGCGTTTGCTTCTATACTGTCTTGCACCTGAAGTACATTAACTTTCCACTATTTTGCACATTTAGGGTCTCACTCTCATCAAATTTTTAAGTGTGCAACTATACGGAGTTCCACAGAATAAAGTGTAAGTGGCATAAAGCAGTGGGAAAATAAAAAGTATCCCTCTGTGCAGCAACACCTTACTCTCTCACAATAAATATGTGGACAAATTAACTGGACATACCAGTTTGAAGAAAGTATCTTTTTGCATTGTTTACAGGATCATCAGTATCTTCAGGTGTGAAGAACAACTTCACGGCTTCCACCTTTAAAGAAGAATATTAATAATTTATATTTTTTTGCAGTTAAACATAACTATTTGTCAACTATACAGACAATCATGCATCCAGTTCTGTCAATATACTCTGCAAGGTCTCAAAATTGTATCAGTTCTTTAAGGGCAAAGTCAAATTCTCCCTTTCACAGAAAATGCCATGAACCGCAGATCAATGTGTTGTGTTCTTTCTCAAATTAAAGGCAAGTTTTCGTCATCAAGAAGACACAAGACAGTTTTCAAAGTTCTGTGAAAAATCAGTCACTCTTCTTGATCATCCAGTTAAAACTTCTCCACTTTAAATTGTCATCCTTCTATCCTGAACAGGAAGGGTCCTTCTTTCCCTCCTGCATGCTTCATGCAAAATTTAGACTGAACATTTTCCACAGTCTCATACAGAGGGACAATCATCTTTCTTTTTTTTTTTCCTTTTTTTTTTTAAATACTGATCTATATCAGGTTAGATGACACTGTGACAAGGAAAACACTACAGTAATCTCTGCTACTTGCAATATCAGTGGAGCCACTCAACTTGCTTGCACTTATACTGACCTGTGACATCTGGTTCTTGTTCTCCTCCATATTGGACTGTGCAAACACATAGTGGCACATTTTTAATATAAGTAGTAGTTCCTACCTGTTTTAAATTAAAGTAACTGAGTTAAGACTAGAGATTTAAAACATTACTACCCAAGGACTGGCACCTGGTACCAACTGCCAGCATACCAGAATTCAAAATGTCAGATACATCAACACTAACTTTCATTGACTGCCCCCAAATCTTGATTCTTATATTTGGAAGATAAGTTTTCCTGACTTTTCTTAGAATCAAAACAAGATTAGAAGAACAGGATACTCAGGTATCCTTTTGACTTTGTAGTGTGCGGTTCATCTTTAGATCTGTGCCAAGTACTGTATCATATACATTGAAAAGTATATTTCTTTTATGAATTATTACTTAAGAAATAAGCTCTCCTTAGCTTACACAGGGGTAATCACTCAGAACTGAGTTTGGGAAAGTAGCCAAGGAATAATGGAAAGCAGCAATCTTTTCTATATAGCAGATAAATTACCATGGTATTGAAAAAGCAAATTGTTTCTTATGAACCTATGTGACTTTTTTAAGAAGTAAACAGACCCCAAGCAGGATAAAGAGGTCCAGCCCAAAGTTAGGAGGCAATCAGAACCATGAATAAACACTGTATAAAGACTACTTCATTTCAGTATTGAAACCCTGTATGGAATGCAACCACTTTCCTGCCAAGTGGCATGAAGACAATCGTAATCACGTTCCAATCACAGACAGAAAAATCACTTCCTGAACTATTTAAATCTGCACCTGCTGTTTAAAAAAAGATTATTTATTTCAGTATGAAGATCTTCATGCTTACGTTATCAAAACTGATCTGGCAATTGCTTCCAGCACACAGGTGGGTTTATCTCACAAATGAAATTGTTCACTGGGAAGGACAACTCTAGCCCTAGACATTGCAACAGTAATGTGAAATTGTCTTGACAGTAACTATTCAAATTACAAAAGGGAAGTACCATTTTTTCACTCAGTAAAGCCAATCCTATTTGATCTGTCTGAACAATTTGTCCTTGTCCAAATCGCTGAGGTCCATAGTAATTTACAAAACCTTTTGTCTAGAATGGTAAAGAATAAATACATTAAAAGCATGAAAGTACCAGGTACCATTAGTAAAACTATGCATACAACATACACGTCTATATTTATATCCCAAATGCATACAAACAGGGTTTTTTAATCAGAAATAATACAAAAAAACATTACTCATGATTCATTATAATATTTTAGAACTTAATTTAGAAACATCTAAAAAGACAATCAAGTTCTACTGTTGTCTTCGCATAATTAAAAAAACTCAGCTAAGTGAAACAATAATATTTCTATATAGTTAATTATAATAAATACAACTACAGGTCAAGTCAAAATAATCGAGCTTTTTATATGCATTGGATTACAAATTGCTACTCAGGCAAATGCAGCATAGCACAGGCAATGAACAGTAAACACTGCTGGACATTTTTTCTTAAAAATACTAATTTTTTCCACATTACATAATTTCTATAATTATTGTAATATAAAGGCCGAGAGTGAATACTTCTGCTAATTGGGATTTTAAATCTCCTGATGAGTTCTAGGGCACGTGTGAGAAGTAAAACTACAGTCACGTGACCCAATGAGAACACCTTTTTCGAGAAAACAGTAAGTATAGACAAGCAAAAAACATATGGCATTTGTTTCGGAAATGGTTATTCAATTCAAATTATTTAACCTTGCTTTGGACATTCATAGGTCCCATATGCAATTTTGCTTTCATGGAAGGTGAAAAATCCATAGTTTGGATTAATACACATCCTGTTTCGTCATTCATCACGTGACCAGTAAGGCAAATCTAATAAAGCAAGACACACAATTGTAGGAATTTCTTTTCATTTTCCAAACAGTAAAACAAATCAAGTCAGATGGAGCAGAGAGAGAGAAAAGCATTATAGTACTGGCTGAATGCTTTTTTCAATAATAAAATTAATTTCCAAAATACATGTAATGTATTTTGCTTATGCACACTGGATAGTTTTCATTCAAGACTTTATTCCTGGATTAATCTTCTTAAAGTAAATTGTACTATAGTTATTACTTAAAAAGATAGAGCAAGAACATTAATGCTGTAAAAAACACCTACAGTTTTTCCTTTTCATTTACTTTTATTTTTCTTAGTGGCTTAAGAATGCCTGATGATGGAGTTTTCTTCAGGGACTAAGGATAACAGAATCAAAATCCATTGATTTTCAAGGGATCTTCTTTCTCTGATATGAGCATTTTATGTGTGTTCATGCCATGAAAGTTCTTCACCCAAGCAGACCGTGCATGTTCCTCACACGACCAAAGAAGACAACCAATTGACATATGTATTGTGTATATGAGTAACTATATCCTTTCCCCCTTCAAATCCTGCAGTGAAACCCATCCCTTTGGCCTCAGGTCTGTGCAGCAATGGCTCATATATCCATACTCATTTGCTACTGAATTCCCCGTGTCTTTTGCTGCACCACTCTGCGGTCTGTAGTCCATAACACAGAATGAATTCACTTGTGGTCCCTTCTTGGAAGGCAGTTTTACTTCTGATTCCATAAATAATGCAGGAATGACATAAAACCACAAGAAGCATCAAAATTAGGAAATTTTGCCATTATTGTGCTATTACAAGCATTTTCCTTAAAAGCATTTTTTTTTAGCAGCAAAGAATTAAAACTGTTCATTATTGGCAACCACGAGGTTTTTCTTACCTCAACATTTTCCATTGCTTCAGATATTCTTTTTTTTAAATCTGCAGAAGAGTCGTGACTGTGCTTTTGGAGATCTCTCACAATTATGTCAAAGTGATTGCCTTTCAGCTGACCAAGCCTGAGGTGCTGGTACGTTGAACGTATGTTGTATATTCTCATGCCCTTTTTTTCCATTTTGTTTCCAATTTCTTTCAACCTACATAAATAAGTGGGAGAAATTACAAACCATCCTCTACTAAAGTTATCCAACTTGTAATAAATATCTTCTTCACCTTTGCATTAGAATTAAAAAGCTCTTAAAAAATAAAATGGGATGTAAAACAGACTACTATGAGAAAACCAAAACAAATACAGAGCTGGAAGTCTTAAAATTTAGTTATAATCCAGAAATACTTTTTAAATGTTTGCATCATTTGCACTTACATGATATTGACATATATGGGAATGAAGCAATTCATTGAACTTTCTCAAGGTAACTACCCTGAATTTTTAACTTTTTTTTTTTTGAAAAACAAGTCATTTATTTACTTTACAGTTCTAAAAACCTTATTTTTGTTTAAAAAAAAAACCCAAACGAAAACCCCTCCAAAACATAACTTCCCTGCACGTTGATTCTCTGATATGCTTGTAATTGGAAACACAGCTGACAGTTCGAGTTTGTGCCCTTTAAAATATCCAATCAACCTGTTTGTTCTTATGTGTAAATAAGTAATCCAAATTAAAGGAAAGTTTCAGCATAAAATCTTACATTCTAAGCAGTATTTTAATAACTTTATAAATTGTTTATTTATAAAATTTATTTATTTCTTCTGTTGCAGTAATGGTTTGAATGCATTTACCTATTTTGCTTCATCATTTAAGCACTAATGCAAAGTTTTGCTAATTATCTCTCGGACAATTGGCCCTACAGCCCAGTTTGCAGTCGAATTTTACCACTGATGTATACTTAGGTTAGTAATAAATCCTGAAACCATAAATTCTATTTTTCTTCATTCCTAAAGTACACTTTGTTGCTATGAACAAAGCCCACTAGAAAGTTAAAGCTGAGGAAGAAATAAGTTATGGTTTTGACTCAGGACTTTTTTTTCTGTTACTATGGCAAACTTAATATATATTTTTTTACTCACTCATTTGGCTACAAAAAGTAACAAAAATGAGGAATGGAAAGGCACATATTGTATTACAAACACATTGTTCAGAATGTATTTCCTTCCCTCAGGTTTGGTGATATCTTCTTTATTTAGTCCTATGTTTCTAAACTGGACAATATGGCAGAAGTTGATACTTAACACTCAAAGACAGCATCTGTCCAAAGTACATTTGTAATGATTTACTTTAGTTTTGTAGCACTATAATGCATTTAAGCTGGGGATTACAAGACAATACTCTGACAGTATGTGGAAACCTGTTGCATCCTGTAGCATAGGCTTCTTCTCAGTTCCAGGTAGTGGATGGTATTTCAGAAATTGTAAAGTGAGCATGAATTGCAAGAATACTGTCCCAGACAACACAGTATATTTGCATCATTACAAAAAATACAGAGAAAGGCAACACTTTTCTCCAAGTTCCCCACTGGGGGACTTCACTGCTAAGCTGCATATTCCCTAAAGCCACAAAATATTAAAGCCATTTTCACTGTCCTCCAATACAGGCAAAGGGAAGACACATCAGTAAAAACATTTCAAAACATTGCACCAGATTGATACTTATTAACATATAAAATTATGTGCTAAACTGAATGCACTCAGATTCGAAGTACCTCTCAGGAGTCACCTTCTTCACAACCATAGGTTGGAAAGTGATAGCCTTCTTATCTTTGATGCCAGTGTAACTGAAGTCTGAAGGAAGAACATCGAGTTCTGCTGCCAACAAGCCAATTGCTTCTAGTGTTTCTAGATTTTCTTTCTGAAGGGTGAAAGCTGAAACAATCATCTCAAAATTACTAGGAATTTGCACTTCTAAATCATACAGGTGTTCTGCTGTGATAGATGGGCAGGTTCTTCCCCTTAAACTGTAATAGCATGGGAACTGTAAAGAAACAGTCCTCCCACCCCACAAAAATAAAGGAAATGGGACTTTTTCAGCACAGAGAGAAGACACAGTACACAAAACTTAGAACAACCAGAAAACCCCGCTGCCTTTAAAAACAGTACCTGAGTAAATGCAACACAATTCAAAAGACATGCACTGGTGTATTTCTAGAAACATTCTCTAAATCAGAAACCAACTGCTTGTAGGAATGAGATCATATATCATACTTGACCTAATTTGTCCAACATCTAGATACACCTCCTAACATCACCCAATTACTTTCAAGGGAAAGTTAACACACTGAGAATACCACAGTTAGTGTTACAACCAAAAGAACTGTAACCATTATCACAGAACAGTTAATTTAAAATCACTGCAGTAACTTGGTTCATCCATGTCATTCTCCAGTAATGTAACTACACTACATTGATAATGATTTATTTCAGTGTAAACAATGAGTCAATCGGGCCTACACGTCATAGAAGAATGATTCAGTTTGTCTTACTACAGAACAGCATAATACCTGCCATCTTCAGTAAAAATGTAGTATTTACCTGTATAAACATCTTGCTTTTCCTGTGAACCACCAGCAGACCTTTTTCTGGACCCACATTTTTCTCGAAACCGTACCACTATTGACATATTTGGCTGATCATTGACATCTGTCACAGTAAAAGACTTTGTTTCTAAAAGTTTTCCGAATTTTCTATTGAGAAAATGGTGAACTACTTTTCTGTGCTCTTTGTTTCCATCAGGCTCAAAAGAAAACGTCGAATTTTCTAGCTTTGCATCTAAAAATTTAAAGAAATCACTTGTTTCCTTTTCAGTCACTAACTGACAAAGTTCTCTGTAATCAGCATTTCCTTTTACAATCATTTCATTGTCTTTTGTAACGGTGACTAAAAAGGGGAATGTCTGCCTAACAGCACTGTGTAAATCAGCCCGACTTTTCTTGTCCAGCCTGGGTCCTAGCGAGAGCTCCCTAGTGCCAGCACTCGGGTTATTTTCCAAGCCCCACGCTTCCTTCAGATCGCAAGCAAACTTATTGAGCAGTTCGCTCATGGGTTTGCCGAGTAAGGACTCCAGTTTGGCTTCCTCGAGGCCGGATTTCGGCTCAGGTGCTCCCTCACGCTGTTTCTTGCCAGAGGATGCAGCACAGCCGCCCCCTGCCCGGCCCGGGTCGCGCTCCGGGGTCCCGGGACCCGGGCCGGGGGCCTCCGCTCTTCGCTGTTTGGGCTGGGGGGAGCACGGGGCGCTTTGCTCCGGCAGCGCCTCGCTGGTTTTCTGAGGCAGTTCAGCCCCGCTGTCCCCAAGGAAGCGTTCGGGCACCTCTATTTCTGTCACTACGAAGTCGGCGGGGGAGTTTTTGATGGTGCCGCGGAAGCCGGTGTGTTCGGTCAGGTAACTGAAGGAGGGCAGCATGGCCGGGCCTGCCCTGCCCCCGGCCGGGCACGCCGCCACTGCAACGGGAGCGGATGGGAAACGGGGAGGGAGGAGGGCGGATAGTAACAACTGCTACAGGAAAGGATGCTGAAAGGCTGGGAGGGAGGAGAGCAGGCAGGCAGGGATGGGGGCCGGGAGACAGGGAGGGAGGCAGGGAGGGAGGCCGGGAGGCAGGACGGAGGCAGGGATAAACGCCAGGAGGCAGGAATGGGGTCAGGGACGGAAGCCGGGAGGAGGTAGGGATATGGAGGCCGGATGGAGGTAGGGATAGGGGCCGGGAAGCAGGGATGGGGTCAGGGATGGAGGCCAGGAGGCAGGACGGGCGGGCCGCTGCTCCGCGAGCCTCCGGTACGGCCGCCAGGGGGCGCCACAACTTCCCTCCCACGGTAAAAGGGTCCCAAGGACGGTACCAACTCACACAGGTCCGGGGGGAAAGAGAAGAAAGGAAGGAACCCCCCTCCCTGCTGCCCGACGTGGTGCGCACCAAGGGGCGGGGCACCCCGAACAGCCTATGGGGAGGCGGCGTGGGATCGGAGCCCTTCCGCGTTCCCCTCACTGCGCCGGTGACGTCAGCGCCGCCTGGGGATGGCGCCGCCCTCTTAAAGGGGAAGCGGTGCTGAGGCGCTCCCGGGTGGGGTGTGGGCGCCGCTGCCGGGAACCGACGGGGGCGGTGAGGGGACTCCAGGGGGCTCCTGCCGCCGGTTGCGGGGCGGAGGGGGCTCCCGCCTACTGGGAATGGTGGACGGGAGCCGTGTCGCGGGGAGTGGCCGCGGGCGGGCCGGGAGGCGACTGTGAGGACGGGCGGGAGGCCGGGGCCGGGCGTTGTCGGGCGGGCGCGGGTGTGGCACCCCGACAGGTGACGGCGCCACTCGTGTCCCCAGGAGCTGAGGATGGGCGAGCCCGTGACGGCTTCTACGCTCGTCCGCTGCCTGAGCTACGGGCTCGTGAGGCGGCTGGCGGACTACATCGACCCGCAGGAGGGCTGGAGGAGGCTCGCCATGGATATAACAAATCCGTCCGGTGAAGGCAGATACAGCCAGATGCATATAAGGTCCTACATAAAAGTCATGTAGCGTAACCTCGTGTGTTACCTGTTTAACATAACTGCCTTGCCCATCCCGTACCGGTGTCCGTCCCGTTTTCCATCCCATTACTGTAACTTCCTGTAATTTGTGTGCTATAAAGGTAGGGCACTCGTATCTTACAGTGCCGTTTCCTGAGGGAACTCCAAGTAATTACTCCTAATTGTTCTGTAGCTCAGTTTTTAGACAAGCCCAAGAAAAATTGACTAAGGAAATTAGCCTTAGTTACAGCCACAGACATGTATTTTTAGCAATACAGCATTGGCTGTGTAACTGTATCCTACAGACCAGTAAAGATTGACCTCATTGTGCCCAAGAGACTACTGGGCTATAACTCCCAATTCACAGTTCCCAAGAAAATGTCCAACAAATGTTAGTAGACAGACCTAGGGCTATCTACAAGTTTAATTAAGAAGTAATGCCTGCAGTGTTTTATGAACACCTTGTTGCTTGAAGGGCGTGTGGAAGGAATCCCAAAGCTGTTTTCAGAGATTGTGAGGTTTTAAATACTATATCTATCATTTTGGGTTTCCTCTCTTTTCTAGTGATGTTAGCATTAAATCTTTGTTTGTCTTTCTATAATAGTAGTAAATCAGTCAGAATACTAGATCCCAATTTTTGCTTAATGCCCATCTCCAAACATTCAAAATGGAGTGTGAATGCTAAATGGACAGAAAACACTGAAGTTTTTCTATTTGATCTGGCTCTGACTTACCCACTGTCTCTTGTCTGTTAGCCCCATGTGCCAGTATATTATGTGTCCCGGACAAAGATGCTGAACCCACATATGCATGTGTTTACCTTAGTTTTTCCCGTATTTTGTAATATTTTCCCCTGATTTTGAATGTTTTTATGGCTTTTAGCTGCTTTTTTAGAAGATTAGTGAATTTGTACAGTACATTCAGAATTTTTTTTTATGTGGGGTTTGGTTTGAGTTTTTTGGGCAGTTTTTGTGTGTTTTGTTGTTTGTGGGTTTTTTTGGTAATTTGCCTTTAATCTCTTTCCTTTCTTCAGGTCACTTTTTTTTTTTTAACGTTGATCTTAATTTATCTTTTAAGGAGATTTGAGGCATTTGTACAAATGGGAAAGAGTCCTACATGTGAGTTGCTTTTTGACTGGGGAACAACAAACTGTACAGTTGCTGATCTTGTGGATCTGCTGATTAGAAATCAATTCCTAGCACCAGCAAGCCTGTTGCTTCAAGGTAACTATTACTCTTGTACATTTTTGTACCATGTTCTCAGTTTTCTAAGATTCTAAAGAGCTTGATAGTAACTAAAAAATCAGAAAGGATTGGGTCAAAATAACCCAAAATGGATATACTTTCTATTACTTGTAATAACAATTTAAATGAGTTCCAAGTTTCAGTAGGAGTGCTGGAGTTGACACAGGGTGGCAGAATATAACCTTCTCATGATGCTTACATGCCTCCTAATTTTAAAAAATACTGGCATTAATATTACAATTTTTTTTTCTGGTTTCTAATGTAGTTAACACTTTTTCTAAATTCCATTTTCAGAACCTGTAAGGATGCCACAAGAAGTTACATTACCTCTTTCTTCACAGGAAACTTTGCCTATGCATGAGAAACAACTACCTGTACAGGAAAAAGAAGCAGCATCTAGAAAGCCTGTTTTAGCTCAGGGTACTGAGAAGCAACATTCAGATCCTTCCCACTTAAGTCAAAAAACCAGCAGTTCACAGTCCAGTAACACAGGTAGGCAATTATTTTGCTAGAATTAAGTACTATTTTTTTTTTTGGTGATCTGTCCTTCACCCCATGTGAAATAAATTACAGCAATGCATAAGAGTGATGACTCTGTTCCTATCATTGTGCATTTATGGGAAACAGCATCTTTCACCTTGCCAACAAGTCACCTAATGTGATGGAAGACTTGACTGTTAGTTACATTGCAATTTATTTTGTGCCACACATAATCCTGTTGCCCTTTTCCAATGCTTATTTTATAGACTGTTCAGCATCTTATGTTTTAAAGCTGGATTTTATATGTCAGAAATGACTAAGACTGTTGGAGAAAAGATGACTAAAGTAGACACTTTAGGAGAGTGTGTGATTGATCTATTCCTTCCTAAAGGTCCACTTTTGTGTTATTGCCAGAAACATGATGTGGTCTAGGTGTATTTTCTACATCTAAGGCAGCGTGGCTCTCTCTGTGATCTGCAGCATGTTTAATTTCTATTACCTGTATTACAAGTATGAACAAGATATAGAATCAGAAGGCTGCTACAGTGCTAGTTGTGAAGAAAATTATGCATAGCTAGTTGTTTATCTGCCTTTTTTTTTCTGGTATCTTCATCACAAATCTGGAAGTAGAGCTGCACTGTGTCAGGATTTGTGTGGTATCAAGTTTTTGTTTTAATAGAACCGAAGCAGAAAACTATTCAATACACTTGTTCCTTAAGTGAAATCAGAGCTTTATGCTAAATGTCAAATATGTCTTTCAGATTTCCATAATTTTTTGTTTCATGATTTGGAAAGCATTACAAATAATTTTGATGCCCGACCAGAATCATCTGGAGGTAATAAACTGGGAGAAGGCGGCTTTGGCATTGTATTCAAAGGCTACATCAATGGCAGAAATGTGGCTGTCAAGAAGCTCGTTGCTGTGAGTTTCCTGGGTTTTTTTCATTTTAATGCCAGTTTACTTTATAGTATAGACTTCTCTTGCTTCTTGTGGAAAGTGTAGAATGATATAATTCAAAAAGTGTCACCATGTTAAATAATAGTTGGGTTGAGAACCTTATCCTGTAGTCCCACGAATGAGTTGGCACAGTCATGTGAAACAATTCTCACCTTCTCTGTAGCTCCCTTTGAGTGGCTTGGGCAAGTTGTCAGGAAGAGCAGAGTGCTCTCCCTGCTGAGAAGTGGCACAAGGGAAGGGTTGCTAAGGATGTTTCCATTTCAGATTCATATAGGTAAGATTCACAAGCTAAATAGGTATTGCCATAGAATTTTAGTCTCCATAACCATTGGTTTGTGTGAATAAGTTAATTTTATAATGAGTATGTAGTGAATGATAGATTGGTGACTGTGCTGAAACTGGATCTATTTGTCCAATAATGCTGTGTTCCAAGGAATTAAAAGTGATGTTCTGATACTTCATTTTCGAGCTGAATAAACAGTTAACTAGTTGTTACATGTAACACATCTAAAGAAAGGTTTACAATTCTATTTTTTTTTAAATTAACAGCTGTGCATTTCAATGTGTCCAGTGATATTAACGTCAAAAACTTCCTTTTGTAGATGGTCGATGTTAGTGTTCAGGACTTGAAGCAGCAATTTGAACAAGAAATAAACATGATGGCAAAGTGAGTACAGTCTTATACAATTTCTGTATTTCTAGCATAACTTAGTGATTTTCATGGTAAGTGAGAATGTTTCTTGTACAGCATGACTACGTTTGTTTTCAAGCATCACCACAGAAACTTGGCTGTGAGCAGTAGAGCTGAAACAAGTAATTGGGAATCAAGTTCCCTCTGCTTTTTATTTTCCTCAAATGTTCAGTGTCTTTCAGAACATATATGAACGGATTTTTTTTTTTTATCCTTTGCTTTAGGTGTCAGCATGAAAATCTAGTAGAATTACTTGGTTTCTCAAGTGATGGTGCTCAGCCTTGTCTGGTGTATGAATACATGCCCAATGGTTCATTGCTTGACAGACTTGCTTGTCTGGTAAGTAAAATCTTTTCTAGCTTCCAACTGTCCTTTGCTAAAGTATAAGTATCCTTGGAATGTCTCTGAAACAGTACTGAATTGTAATGGCCAAATGATGTTTTGCTACTTGCTCTTGTGTTTTAGAAGAAAATATGATAACAAGTATTCTTCCAATAACATTTTATTCAAATGGTTTAGATAGATTAAAATCAAATCAGTCTGAAAATACAATGTCACGTACCAGTACCTGAAGCGGCACAGGAGGCTGGACTTGCTGTGCCTGTGTGAAGCAGTGCAAAGGGTGCTGCAGAACTGTTCACAGTTCTAATGTTGGCATGTTCTCCACTAGTTCTTGAGATTCTGGATTGTGAAATTGCCCTTTGTTCATTGTTCTAGTGATAGTGGTTATAACACAGTGCTCATAGTTTACATACCTCTTTCTAAATAAATGGGAATTACATTTTTTTAAATTATTATTTTGTGTAAATGCAATGTTTTATTCTGATTTAATCAAATGGTGTATCTTCTAGCCTTGGCTTTTAATAAATAATAATTTGCTTTGGTTTGATAAGGCAACTCTGTCTATGAAGGACAGACAGAGTGATACCAATAGTAAGTCAGACTTAAGCTAGTAGATCAGTGTCCATGTTAGTTTGTTGAAGGAGTTCAAAAACTCTGCTTTATACTAAACAGTCCTTTACAAAGAAGAGACAGATTTACAGTATAAATAAAAAAATCTAAATCAGAATCTATAAATCAGAAAGAATCTTTTTCTGATAAGGTCAAATAGGTGAGGAATGTACTTACTGAATGTTCTTGGTGATAACTTCGTTTTGTGACTTCACTGGATGTGTTTTGGGGCATGGACTCTTGCTTATGTCATCTTCTTGTCTAAATTTTGAGCAGGTGAGGGAGGTGATGGAATGGTGAGATACTGTAATCCTCTTCTCTCGGCCACTGACAAGATTAAGAAGTGGTATTGAAATGTAGGTGTCCTCACTTCTAAGGCCTAGTTAGTGGCACGAATAAAACTTAAACTCCTGAGAAGTGGTAAATCCAAAAACACTGGAAGATTGACTTCTCATTGTTAGTAAAAGCTGTGGATTGCTTTGAACTATTTGTTTTGGGTTAAAGGCTCTGGTATCAGTGCCAGAGTGAAGTGGAAGGTGTGGTACATTCTCTGCAGGGCAGCTGATCTTGTAAGGTCGGAGTCGAATATTAACCAAGAACATTTTTTGCAACTGTTGAATTAATCTACAGCAAAATGCAGGGAAAGAACAGAATGTGACAAATGCATGTATATCTGCCCAAGTCAATTAAGAAAGGTATGCTAGTGGTATTTTTAATGATTTACTTGAAAACAACAAATCAGAGCAAGAAGTCCATTTTGGGTTATGGGGGTTTTGTAAGTTTTGTTTTGGTTTATGTGACCGCATATATATATATATATATGTGTGTGTGTGTGTATATGTATAATTTTCACTTTTTTACTTGCCTTTCTCTTTTCTTAATCAAGAATGACACACCACCAATTTCTTGGAATACAAGATGTAAAATTGTTCAAGGTACAGCAAATGGCATCAACTTTTTGCATGAAAATAATCATATTCACAGAGACATTAAAAGGTAAAAGCTGCAGACTATTGCCGGCTGCATTTTCACTTTATTTCTTTTTTCTTTTTTTCTTTTCTTTTTTTTTTCTTCCCCATTAAAGTAATTTTAGAGAGAACAAACTTTAAAAAGCATTGCTTCAGTCAAGGGCACAATCTTTTCTGCAAGTGACATCTATCACCATAATCTTATCTGTGCCACAAGGACATGAGCAGTACAGACTTCTATAGATAATTATGAGGCTATTAGAACCATAGAGTTGTTTAGGGTGGAAAAGACCTTGCAAATCATCGAGTTCAGCCATTAACACAGCACTGCTACATTCTCCACTACACCATGTCTCTAAGTGCCACACCTACAGGTCTTAAATACCTCCGGGGATGGTGATTCAACCACTTTCCTGGGCAACCTGTTCCAATGCTTGGCTGCCCTTTTGTTGAAGAAATTCTTCCTAATATGCAGTCTAAATCTCCCACGACACAACTTGAGGCCATTTTCTCTTGTCCCAATACTTGTTACTTGGCAGAAGAGACTGATCTCCACTGTGCTAAACTTCCTGTCAGGTAGCTGTAGAGTGATAAAGTTTCCCCTGAGCCTCCTTTTCTCCAGGCTAAACAACCTCAGCTCCCTTAGCCACTGGACAGCTTTCCAGCCATGAGATTTTGCATTGTAATTGTAATTTGTATTATAAATGTAATTTGTAAAATGTAATGTAAATTGTAATTTGTATCATAATCTGTTACTATCAGATAGTTATTTGAGTGCTGCAAGAACATGCAGAAAGTTCTGTTCATTCACAACTCCTGCTAATGAATAAGCTGCTCTTGGAAAACAATGAATTTTTAAATAGGGAATTTTTCAGATGAAAACCCACACTTTTTTTTCCTTTTCCTAGAATATTTTTTCAGTGTCTACTTTGATTTGCTCCTAGTTTTTATGAAGACAGTAAAATTGCTTCAGTCAGGTTTATGAAGTTCAGAATTCTTCAGTGGTAATGTTCACTGTTTGTTATACTAGAATTTTTTTTTCTAGGGGGTATCAGAGCTCAAAAAAGGGAGGATTTTGTTGTAGAGTTTGGTTGTGTTTTCTGGTTGGTTTTTTTGGTTGGGTTTTTTGGGGAGTTTTTTTTAGGGGGTGAAGGGGTTGTTGTCTGCTTGTGTTTCCCCTTTCTTGCTACAGTTCATTGTATTGGTCTTTTTAAAAATTAGTCCAAGTCTTTGAAGAAAAGCCCCAAATGCCTTACTGCTTTTGAGGGTTAAGAAGCAGCAGCTGACTGATTGGGTGTCATGGATGAATGTTTCAACAGCTTTCTGGCTTCTGGCACCTCTGCTAAATATAGGCATCTTCAGTTTTGGGACCTTGCAGCTTGTGAGTAACAAGCCTTTTCTTCAGCTGCCTCATGTATGTGCTTGCTGCTTTGACAATGTTTCTTTCTTCTTCCCTGCTTAAGCCTCTGGAGAAGTGTAATGACTGGAAGGGGTGCTCTTTTTTACCCTACACTACTTCTGCCCTTCTAACTGCTGTGAGTTGATCTTGTTACAGAATTGGGTTTCATTTGGTTTTTTGTTTGGATTCCACTTTGCAACTTGTAGTGTGAATAGTTCAGTAAATTCGATTGGTGTTATTAATAGTGCTGCCACTTACAGGTAAAACTTAAATGAAGAGACATCTAAGAAGATTAACTTCAGTCTGTATTTTGCTGTGACATGTAGAGACCATTCATAACCACACAGGCACTAGAACAGCTTCTCTAGGCTAGAGGGTACATGATTGAATGGGTGTTCTCACAGTTGTTCATAGTTTTTTTTCACTTGGTTATGCCAAAGGAATAGTTCGTTTCTCTCTTGAAGCTTGACAGTTGCAGAAAAACTTGCTTCTGTTGTGCTCTTTGTGATGTATCCAAAAAATGACCGCTCTTGGACTTTACTCAACTTGAAAAGAAGCTCAGATTTCTTCCTTTTAGAAGCTGAGCTTTAAATATGAAACCAGTTGGTGGATGATGCCTTGACTAGCATCTTATGCCTTTTGTAGCAGTCTTATATTTAGCGTTATTTACAGCAGTTCTAACACCAAGTGATCTGTTCTAACTTACAGCTGTGTTAATTTTGTTAAGGTTTGGTGAGCAAGGGGAAGTTAGAAATATAAGTTTTTAGTAAGTGTTATGTATTGTATCAGGCTATGTGGTTTTCTTACAGTTCCATTAAGGGGATCAGAAAATGAGGATTACAGAAATATTAAGTGACTTTAAAATGGTTCCAAGTGCTACAAGTTTAAAACCCAGTAGATTTATGCTGTAATTCATCCACTGAGTATTTTATGAAAGTGTTAAGGTCTCTGAGGTGAGCCTCGTTTGTCAGGATTGGTTTTTTTTTTTTACGGAAAGTAAAAGCTGGAGATCAAGTGGAAACACAACACATATATTATTCTAGCAGTAATAAGTGTTCTGGTTTTCTTCCAAGGCAAGAATAAGAGTATTAGTATTCCTCTGGCACGTGAATTTGTAATGGTTGACATAGTATTAGATAATAGGTATAAAAAACTGCTTTTGTTAGTTCTGAGCAGAGATTTAGACTGTAAGAATCGTGCTGTGATCCAGTACAAGTTGATCAGAGCTAAGTGTTCTCTATTGTCCTTCTTAAAGCCAAAACATAAGTGCAACATATTGGTCTCTTATAAGAAAGCGGGGGTTTTGTGTGTGAATGCGTGCACACACAATAAAAAATATGGATGGATCTTGGCCGTCAGTTCTTGATTTACTTAGAAAAATCGATTTTGAAATTGAGCAATTTCTAACAAAACTACTCATACATAATTTGCTATATGAATTATGTATAAACAGCTTTCAAGGCAGTCAAAATAGCAGGTTTGCATTTGGTTAGTAAAGAGATATTAGTCTGTTACAAAACATAATTATTGTACTGGTTTGGAAAATTCTCTTTTCTTTTTTTTCCCCTCCCTTCTCCCCCAGTGCAAATATCTTATTAACTGATACATACATACCCAAAATTTCTGACTTTGGCCTTGCAAGAGCATCTGTAACATTCACACAGACAATCATGACTGAAAGAATTGTTGGAACAGCAGCCTATATGGCACCTGAAGCTCTGCGAGGAGAGATAACACCTAAATCTGATATCTTCAGTTTTGGAGTAGTAAGTAGAATGTGGAAAGCAGTATATGACCTTTTTTTGTAAATTATAAAAGCGTACAAAATCAAGAATATCTGAAATGAAATAATCTACTCTGGGCTATACTTCTCCTTTTTCCCAATAGATGTTTTCTTAAGATAGTGTTTCTAAACTTTGATTGTTCTAAAATCATTTGAATATGTTGATTTTTCTATGTGAAAGACCAGAGTAAAACAATATTCCAAGTTGTTGCTAAATGTAGTTTGAAGTGATGTGGAACATTGTTTCTGCTTGCTTAGTATTGCACGAAAGTGTAACTCAGGCTGAAAAAGAAAATCAAGAAAATGGTTCAAAATTAATGTGTTTTACTATATTTCAGCATCAAAAGTACAATGTCCATGTGGGATTTGCTTAGACTTGAGTACAAAAAAGACATGAACTTAATATTTGGCAGAATAATGAATCCATTACATGAGGGTCATGCTACTTCTTGCAAATTGTATATGTGCTGAGGATTATTCTGTGCTTCATTTTCTCTTTGGCTTTTTTTTCTTCCTAGGTCTTACTGGAAATAATAACGGGTCTTCCTCCAGTAGATGAAAACCGAGAGCCACAGTTACTGGTATGTTCTTTTTGCCTTCTCCTCCCCTCCTCCTGCTCCAGAATTACTTTATGTGACAGTAAGTCAGTTAACTCAGTCAGTTAACAGGTTCTGAGACAATCAAATTAGTCATCAAAATATGTAGTTCTGAAAGCAGCACTTATGTCAATAATCTGTTTGTCTTAGAGGTGAGTCTGAAACTTTTATCTCTTGGCTGGTAGATTGTTCACCCCTCAAGGCTGTCATCTTCCAATTTGATACTGGAATTCTTTGGTTTGGTACTGGTTCTTATTGTAATACCATTGTGCTTTATTAGCCTACTCCCAGATACCTTGATAATTCCTCATTCCCTAGAACATTTTGAACTGTTCACCTCAGTTGTTTCTTTATGGTTCTATATCAGTTTCCATCTTCTTCAATTTTACTAATAATTTGCAAATACTTTGTGTTTTTAACCCCAGTTAGTGAAGTTTGAAATGTAAGGGCTTTTTTGCAGAGTGATGGGTGGGTTGAATTTCCTCTTCTTTTTTACTACTTAGGAAACTAATGTCTCAGCTCACTCTCTTGAATTAAAAATCTTACAAGGCTCTTCATAATTTAGTCTTTTATGTAGTTTAAAATTATGTTCTGAACTCTTTAATCCAAGGTTTTCCTAAAATACGTTTTACATAAAGATTAATTTATTTACTAAGTTTGAAATAGCATTGAGGTCTGGATTCTTATGTTCCATACTGTTTGATAGCAGATCACTTTCTTCCACAGCTTTAGAAATACCTGTGTATTATTAACAGATTTTTTTTGTCCTTCTAAGCTATATCTTTTGGAGTAGCATAATAGTTATCCTGTTGAGCTTGTAAAGACCTTGGAGAACTCAGGTTTTTTGAAGCAGGCTTTTTCAGAGATAGGATCTAAAAAGGAATATGAAGTATGATTTGACTAGTACAGTTTATCTTTGTGAAGTACTTCTGGCAGCATAAAGAGAATGGTCATATGGCATCCCCAGCTTTGAAAATTTTGAGGTAGTTGAATGTTGGTCAGCAATTTCAGACTGGAAATGCAAATGCAAATGAAGATACCACATTTCAAGTGTGTTGGAACTGGAGACTTTTGGACTAAACCTGTGAGATTTAAAATTTGATTTCAGTCTAGAAGTTTCCTTTTAGAATAGATACAGCAGCCACTGAGACTAGAAACAGAAGGCATTAGAGAAAGAAGCTTTATAAAAGTGACAAAAAAGGAAAAATTATACAAACTTAAGCCTGCATATTTGTGGGTAAACATAAATAGTTTATGTTGATCATGCTTTGCTTAAAAAGCAGCCAACACTAGGAAACTGAGCCTTGAAGTGGGAAAAAATTAAACCTGTATAATGCAGCTTAAAGAAAATTGCTTTATGATGTTAATTAAAATAACGTACAATAAAATAAATGATAAATCAAAATTTATAGTTCATTTTTATTTTTAAAGGCTATTCAGATCCTTACAATGTTATCTGCTCATTGCTTCAAACTCTCTTGTAGTTAAGTATAAAAGATGAAATTGAGGATGAGGAAGCAACTATTGAGGATTATGTTGATGAAAAGATGAGTGACTGGGATGTACCTTCAGTTCATAAAATGTATTCAATTGCTGATCGGTGTCTGAATGACAAAAAAACCAGAAGGCCAGACATTAAGATGGTATGTAGTCTTTCAGATAAATGGCTTTTTTTGAGTGTGTGTGTGTGTTGTGTGTCCTCACGTGTGGTTACAGTGTCAGTCATTTATATCTCTCTCTGTTCTCTTGCAGATCCAACAGCATCTCCAAGAGATTAAAACTTGACATGTGTTTCTTCTGATACACAAAGGTGTTTGTAATGGAGTAGACACCAGTAGCAAATATTTAATTAGCAATTAATGTGGCATTATCAGCTTTTCTGCTTTCCAGAACTTTCTGGACACAAGTAAGATTGTGCTGTTGGCCTGTCCTCTTTCAGTTAACTGAGCAGCCCTTTCACATATCCTTAGCCACTGGGCCCTTCACATGAGAACTTCTTCTGTGTTAACAAATTGCATCATCTTCTCCACAGCTTTTTAAATGCACTTCCATATTGGAATCGATTTTATTATTTTTATTTCCAAGTTTCAAGTATGTCTTCTACTAAGGGCAGACTTTGTAACAGGGCAGAATGGTTTTTTCTGCAAATTGCTTTCTTGATCAGGTGTACTAGATGTTCTACTGAAGACAAAACCATGTAATAGCTATAAATGGGGCTTAGTGTTGTCTTTTTGGGAAAAGACAATAGCATTACCCATTTAGAACAAACTTCTATTTAGGATTTTAACTTGAGAGTCCATAGGAGCATGAATGGTCTGGTAGTGTTAGTGAATGTGACTATATTTCAAAAAGTCTTCTTGGCATTAGTATTTAGTCAAATAAATACTGCAAGACATTTTCTAGGTTGTTTTTGATTTCAGTGATTCCTGAGCAAAATAATAATCTTGCAGTGCAGATGTATTTGCACTTGCAAATGCTTTCTTACAGTGAACTCTGTGATGACAAACCATTCCATTTTTATTCATAGGAAGACTCTTAGCTACTTTGACTATTTTAGGAGAGGATTGAGTATTTTAGTACTTTAGGAGAGGATTCCCTATGGATTATAAAAACAGTTGATTTCTTTTGTTAAAGTGGTTGGAATTACGCTGTTAAGACCAATTGTGCATTTTCCTTAGTCAAATAATTAAGCTATTTTTAATATACATATGCACACATATTAATTAAATATTAAAATACATTTCTAAAAATGTAACACGGAAAGCTTTTTAAAATAGGAACATGGACAGATCAAAGCAGACTAAAAATGGAATGAAAGTGACTAGTAAGATTCCAGATACTTTGGACCAAGTATGAAAATTCTACAATTGAAATAAAAGATAGTATTTTATATAAATCCATTTTGCACCTCATGGACTTTCTTGGCAGCTCAGGGATAGGAAAATAGTCTGGCCTACAATTAAATTTGAAATTCCATGATTATCAAAGATGTGACTGTATTCAGGGATATATATCTCTTTGTAGAAAGCATTTGATTTCTAATGTATTTATATAATGAGATTTCTGGCTATTAACTCATTTTGTAATGCCTTTTCAAACTGATATCTTAATGTGGAAAAAGGGATCCACCTAAACTGCTTCTAGCATTATTGAGTATACATTGTAAAAAGCTGTTAACATAAATAAAAACTCTGCATCACTGGAGATGATTCTTTCTGCTATTAAAACTTCTGAGCCTTGGAAATAATCATCATATTCTGTTGCTTGCATTTCTGTTAATAATATTATGCTAACCTCACTTAATGGAATAAAGCTGTACAGCTCTGAACCAGGGCTTGTGGAGAAAAAAGCTGCTATAAAGGTAAATCACAGTAAAATCTGAAAGCATTTTTCAGTTTTAAACATCTCCAGCTGTTATATGAAGGTTTCTTATTAGATCACGTCTGCTTTTACTATTCCCTGGAGCTGCAATACCTCTGTAGTCTTGTCCTGAAATGTGTTTGCTGTAGTAACTCCCCCGTCAGCTCTGTTCACTTCTGGTGTGGTAGAACATTTTTTTCATGCACCAACTGTGATATTCTTAACTATTAGGAAAATCTCAGCTACAAGCATGTGAGTTCCTGTTCCATCATACTAGACCGAGACTATTTGCAGTGCTGCTCTCAGCAGCGAGGTTTTAGCAGTAGTTTTCCTTCCTTCACTGAAAATGAAGCATGTCAGCTACCATTTCATACTATTAAAAAAAAAAAGTTTTGAACTTGTTTAATATTATTCTAGTGAGGAATGAAAATGTGAAGCGTTAATTAGGTAAAACTAGTTAACCTATGTGGCAACTATATTTTGTTTTAAATACATATGGGGCAAGGAGAAGGAACTTCCCTTTCCCACCTCAGGGTTTTTTTTGAGGTCTTCATACAGTAAAGCCAGCACCTATAGACACAAACGGGATAAGAGTAGTCAACTTCTGTTTCCTTTGTTCCCTGCAAAAACATTAAATTATCCTAGAATCCATAATTCTTTGTGTTAATTACTATAGTAAAGCTTTCTAGGACGCAAATCAGTAACTTAAAGTCATTCAAGCTATTTGTGAGTAATGGGATGATCTAGTTTCATAGAACTGGAGGTGAGAGAAGTTGGGTACAGTTCCTGGTGGGTGAAGACAGCTCCGCATGGGAGGTGTTCTTGGGAGAGAGGGAGGGCTAATATGGCTGGCCTATGTCCTTTCTCAGTGGGGGAAGTGCCATGGAGGGCATTGGAGGATCACTGTCCATGGTGAAACAGCCAACCTTTTGCACGTTAAGGATCTGGAGAACAGTAACATAAAATGAGTTAGTGACCTCTAGAAGGACATATGAATGAATGAAAAAAAGCAAGAGTGATTTATTGGAATTCCAGGTAAGACTTTAGAAAACAACAGCAAGACGAAAGCAAATGTTAAGGATCCAAAGAAAGTTGTCTTTTTTTAAATAGAACCTGGTAGGAAGGGCAACAGTTCTCCCCTTAGAGCAGGAGGTAACAATGGCTGTTGTGAGCCAGACCAGAGTTGTCTGCGCAGCCCTGGGGCCAGAACGTGAGCCATTAGTGGCTGCTGAGGAACAAAAGCAAGGACAGGATACGTATATAGAGATACTGCACTGGAATATTATGGCTTTAGACAATTTGCAGCTCAGTAACTCCGAAAAGGAAGCGAGGTCTTTGTTAGTTAAGACTATTAAATTTTCTTTGATCAGTTTGTCCAGTTGCCTTTTGAGCCAACACACCTTTTACCAGACATAGTGCTTCATATTACTAATGTGGCAAGTGCCTCATCTTCATACTTGGGTGGGCCAGCTGGGAGTTTATTTACCACCCACTGACCAAAAGGCAAATAAAGCTGCTTCTGTTTCTCCTGGTCACATAGAGGCCTAGCCTCTTCCTTTCTCTTGCCTTGTACCTGCTCCTCTTACAGCTCTGGTTCTATATAGCATTTTGCATTAAAATTATCTCTGAAATCCTAGTTCAGCACTTCTTCAAATGTCCTTCTTTCAATTGCAAAATTGCTGTATCACAGATTTCTCCATGGGGATGTGTTGGCAGGATAGTTAAAAGCCAAACCACTAGATCTTCTTTTCAGCTTGAACTTTCAGGACAATAGGAGGTCTTCAAATTATTTTCAGTTTAGATAAAAATTAATGGAACAACATAATTTGAGCAGTTTCATTATAGTAGCTCATGCTGAGAAAGTAACAACAGATAGAACTGTTAAATCACCACTTAACTACTTCAGCATTTTAAAAGGACAGAAGAACTTTTTGAAGGGGCTTATTACTGAAAGCACGAAAACCTCAAGTGATGAACACACTTGAATACTGCTGTGGAGCCCTCTGTGCTGCTTCCATAAGGCAACAGGAAAGTAGCTGTTTCTAACATGGTGATTTTTCTCCAATAGCAGGAATTCTCTTTCTCCTCACCTCCTTTTTTATACCTTGCAATCACTTTCTAGTTCCATAGGAACTGCCTTTTGCACATTCTGATGTTAGAATATAGATCTTTGTTAAAGACACCATGAAATGATTCAGACAACACCAAACTAAAGCATCAATCTTTATTTATAAAGCAAATTACAAAACAGATATAGTAAACTTAGTTCATTTTAGCATCTGAAGGTGGTTCGCACTGAATACACAGACACTGTAAATCAAGAGTTTCCTTTATCAATCTGTTTATCTGAGCAATAGAGCAATTATGACCTTGATTAGTTTAACCTTTGATAGGAGTGTTTTAAAAGATCAAAATCTCATGACCTTGCGACATAAACATTTAAAAAATAATTACCTGTTGTATTAATTGTTTAATAGCTTGTGAGTTAACTGCAAGCAGCTGCATTGCTTTTGGGCTTTCTGAAGTCCAACAACAATTTGAATGGAAACTTTCAATTATTTAATGACCAGAGACACTTAAAGGAATAACACCAATTAATGCCCACATTTTATGCTGGCTCTGAACATTCATTAAAAGTAATGGAGGCAACTATGCAGGAGTAAACTTGATAGATTTTAGGAAAAGATCAGATGCTTCTTATTGCTCTGTCAGGAAAAGAAGCCTGGAGAGGCAGCCGGCAGCGCAAGACTTCATACGATTCTCTTTTTGGGGAAAGGTGAAGGGGAAACATGCTCAGGACATGACTCTGCTGGTTGGTCAGGGGTTTGTACACCCCCACAGAATATTTTCAAGTAAAATAACTTAGAATGTCTGGTTTGGGCTGAACTCTAAAGCAGCTCATCATAAAGGCCATTGCATAATCACTTAACCAGCTCTCATCATCCTCCAGATTAAGTTTTCCACCTTCTATTCTCATCTACCTAGGGCAGGATTAGGAAAAGAAACCCAAACAAAACCCCCCCACAACATGCACATAACTGTATTGTGTCAAACTGATCATTACTTAAAACATTTAGTATTAAAAAGTTGAACTTCTGTACTGGCTAAAGAAAGCATAAAGATGCACTCTTGCTATGGCTGGCACATGGGCAGGAATACTAAATTCTAACAAAAAAACTCTCTAGCAGTAATTTTTAACTGCTTCAAGCAAAGGTTTTCCTTAAAACTAAACCAAACAAAAAAAACCAAAGTGAATTAGGTGTGCTGCAAAGATTCAGAGTTCAACTAAAAATACATTTAATTACAGTGTACAATGAGCTGCACACCATAACCATATTTAAAAAACAATTACACTTCCCTGACATGTAGTACATAGCAGAAACACTTCAAAGACCAGGTCCTTACCCTAGAGGGAGAAGGCAAGAGGCAGGAAAAGAACACAGTGGCTAAGGGCAAGCAGGAGATTAGCTGAGTATCTACTGAATTGGATTGATGTAGTGTGTAAGATTATTGAAAACAGCTGAAATGTCAAATTTCTACTGCATATAAAAAAAACCACAGTAAAACCAACTACTGCAATCTTCACATTATATAGTGCAATCTCAGATGTCAATAACAAGCTAGTATCTCCAAACAAAATAATAGATAAAACAAATTTTATCAGGAACTAGTAGTGTCAAAGAATTATTTCCCTAAAAAACTAGGTTAAAAACTGTCTTCCACCAGCTAAACACATGATTCAGCTCTATAACGTGTATATCCAGCAGCTATGATAATACACAGTGAACCAAGACTGTCAACTCCCATGTAGCTTTAAAAAACCCCAAACTGGCAAAACTCAAAAACCACAGAGCTCACATACAAGACATTAAAATGCAAGTCCTCACTGGAGAATATAATCTATCACTAGTATTTGCCTCATCACACAATTTTAAATATTTAAGGTCATCCAATACTTGATTTCCACATCTAATTCTCCCTTAGTCCACTTATTAAAATAATCTATTTTTCCTCTTCCTATTAAACACATTACTTACAGTTCAATCAAGTTTAGACTATTCTGGCTGATTTTAGTACTTTGGAGAAGGGAAGCAGGGAGGGAAAAAACCAGACAAAATCCTAACCAGGTGCTTGCTGCCAGCAGTTATTCAAGACCTAGTTGGATTTTAGTTACTAATAAAGTTCAAACAGTTAGGAAAAGACATTTTCTGTTAATACGGCAAACACAGTAATATCTCAATGATAACTCACCATTATGAAGTGACTCTATTTCAATTTTTACTGAATTTACACATTTTTAGATCTGAGTGCACAGATAATTAGATACTTTAGGCATATTGCTTTGAAAGCAGCTTCATAATTAACTGAGTATACTAACTCATGCACTTTTAATCACCTTTTACTTGGTCATTCAGTACCTAATATGTAAGGCTTCGGAGTGATACATAAGACTGGAAAAGCTAGTGGTTTTTATGTTAAATTTCCTTAAAAGACAATTCCATGAAATTAGTTATAAATTTGAGATGACCAAGTGTTTGTGTAGGAAAATATCCAGCTATTCCTGAATACTTACATTAATTTAATGATAACTAATTTTTATCTTTTCCATTACAAAAAAAAAAAAAAGGAACAAAACCAAACCAAACAACAACAAAACCCAACAATGCATCCTGTCAAAATCAGAGGAAAACCTTCTACTGTACTACTGTCCATAAGTGCTACAAGGAAAAATAAAGATTTAACTGGGACAATGCTATGTCATCTTTATCTCTTCTCACATGGAAAGTCTTACATGTTTCAATAGGCTGTGCATAAGAATATGGCTGCAACTTGCCCACAGAACACATGGGTTTCATAGTATTATGTCTATAAAGTTTACGATCACAT